GGTAAGAAAACATTAGTATGTTTTAAGACACACCAATGTATTAAACTAGCTCAGACATTAGTATGTTTTAAGATTTGACTAGACAGCAAAAGCCTTACAGCTACAGAACTCAAGCCCGAAAAACTAAGGGTGGTATGACACAGCTTCCTACTATGGCTGAGAAAAACTGAACTAAGATTAGAAAAGAACTATTCTAGAAGGAGAAGATCTTAACCTCATGTTCAGTGACTAACAGAACAGCTGAGGAAGTATGCCTGCAAGCTGGAACCAATGAAAATGAAAAAAAGCAAAAGAAGTTGGATTCCTTGTAAGTAATTATCTGATTTAAATAAACATAATAAAGGCAAGCTATCTATGAAGACATCAAAGAGCCTCAAAGGAAGTTCATAAACATGGCTTCACACCTACTAGATGACAGTCATTACAAAAGAGGTAACTAAGATGTCCCACAGCATCTCTGGTAGTAAGGACCCCACACAGGCATTAAGCTGGACAGTAGTGCCTTTGCAGGGAGCAAAGCTTTGAAGTCAGGAGCAGAGGTTACAACAATGTTTTAAAAATCAATGTTATTAAACTCAAATCACCTCTCAAAAAACTGACCTTGTGCAGAAAATAGGCATTTTCCCACTGCTCTAATTCCACACTTCCATCTCTGTGCCATCTTTCACTTTTCCAAAATGGAAAAATGTCTACTGTCTATCATTGTGAAATACTTTTAAACATAATGAGAAGCAATGGGGCAATACCTCAGTGACACTATACCTACTGGATACGTGACAATTTTCCATGGATGGTGGATGGGGTGGTGGTGGTAATTATGAGTGTGTAGGTGTGAAGCTGGACCCCAAGTTAGTTTTTTAGGTGTCCCTTTATAAATGTGAACAAAAAATTTTTAACTTTTTTTTTTCATTTTGAAAACGTGATGTATAAGAAGAAGACATGGGCAATCAGCTAATAGATATTATGGGTTTGCCAAATTGGAGCTCAAAGTAATTGTGAAGTCCAGCACAAGTAAAGGTCACCCCACAAAACTTGCTCTTCATGAAGGCTCTGGCAATAATGGAAGAATGAGATTTTAATCACTGAAGCTAATTACATAGAAGACTAAATCACAAGAAGAGTTATTTAAGTGTCTTAAATACAATAAAAAGTAATTAACAGGAAGCGCCATCTTGACAGCTTCCTGTCACAGTCCAGGCCTAAAAGGATCAGCTAATTCCCAACTTGGGAGCCAGAGAATAAAAAACAACTCAAAGTTGGATCTTTTTATTTTTTATTTAAACTGCTTTGATTAAAAGGTAACAACTCTCACCAACTTGAGTGAAGTTAATCAAGGAAAAAAAATTTAATCTATTAGAGGAATGATGAACCTCATTTTTATTCATTCCCCAGAGGGCAAGAGAGAGGGAGTTGAAGACTGTTTCACAAGAGGGGCCTCCCAAAGGCCATGCAACTGGACGCTGTCCCACACAGCAAAAGAAAACATGGGAAAAAAAGGAAACATGGGAGAACTTACAGAACCCTGCTGAGGACAAGGCCAGTTCACACACTTGGGCATGTGAAATCCACTGAAAGATATCTCCTTTGAAATAACTGTCAAGGAGGCCATCTCATCTGCCTCTTCTTTCTCCTTCCCTGGACTGAGCAGTTTGAGAAAAGCTACTGGAGACCAGAGATTCACAGCTGATCCTGTGACTAAAGGGAAAGCCTCTAGACACTACAAAGGCCAGTATGAAGGGGTCTGAGCCTACAGGTAACGACAGACATAGCACTGATCTTTTCTTAATTCTACCGCATCTCTAAAAGCTGAACAAAGTCCAAAGCCTGTCACAAGAGACATGGTGCATTACTAGACAAGCTCTCCCAGCAACCTTTGCTTAACTGACCAGCACATTCTACAACCTCCTCAAAACCCACAGGCTGACACCAGTTAGTAACTGAGGACCACTCGAACACACCTGTACACTTCTGTCCCAATCTGTTTCTGTCCCCGGATTTACACTGGTCATTTTTATTATGTACTTCACTAAATATTGACAAAAGGAACAAGCTTTGATAAAAACAAGTTGTTGCAAAAGGTTTAGTAAGAGACATGGCTTTTAAATGGCAACAAAATGTGCCAAAAGAAGAGGGAGATGTAAATCACAAAGATCTAGGGTTCCATAAGTAGTATTTTTAAATCATCATTCCATAGAAGAAGTTATTTAATCCACCAGGATATCATACATCAAAGATTTGGAGATGTAAACACATTTTTATGGTAAAAATGGAATTAATACATTTGGGATAAAAAAATAAATCCTCTGCTCTAGACAATGTTTTCAAATAACTATTAAAACCAGGAAGCATTTGATATAATTCTGAATCTAAGGTGAGTATTTGGATATTGGTATCATTCATACCTCAACTTTCCTACAGTAGTATTTGGAATGATTTAAGCAGAGAAAATTGAGGGAAAAATGAAAACAAAGCCAAGGCCACAGGAAAATAAATAGAAGCTTTGAGGAAGACCCAAACATCAGAAGCATGCTATCAGATACATTTTCTAGAGTCACCCTATCTTTGGCATGGGCTTCCCTGGTAGCTCAGATGGTAATGAATCTGCCTGCAATGTGGGAGACCTGGGTTCGAGACCTGGGTTGAGAAGATCCCCTGGAGGAGGGCATGGCAACCCACTCCGGTATTCTTGCCTGGAGAATCCCCATGGACAGAAGAGCCTGGTGGGCTACAGTCCATGGGTTCGCAAAGAGTCAGAAACGACTCAGCGACTAAGCACAGCACATTATTTTTGGCACATACCTTCCAATAACGAAATAAACAGGGAAAACTATTGAATCAGATACAAGTTTTTTAACGTATATATTTATCAGATTAAAGCCAACGTGTAGCTCAGAAGAAACAGCTGTCCCAGGTTATGAGACATCTAAGCACTCCCTATTTTATTTCATAAAGGGACACTGCAATATAGTAAACAAATAACTCACAAATTTATTGAACTCCTACGAACTGCTGAACACTGAGACTACAGCAGTGAATAAAAGAGACAATAATCCCTATCTTCAGGGAGCTTACTATCTAATGAAGTTTGGTCTTAATGATATTAGGCTACCCTCACATTTCTCCCAATTACTGCCCAGTAGTTTACTCAAGACAGTCTAGTCTAGTAGAAACAAATCCATGAGGAAACCCAGTGTATTTAACTCATTATGTTAAAAATGTAATTAAAACATTTGGGATAAAAAAATAAATCCTCTGTTCTAGCCAATGTTATCAAAAAACTATTAAAATCAGGAGACTTTTAATATAATTTTTAAATCTAAGTTGAGTATTTGGATATTGGTATTATTCATACCTCAACTTACCTACAGTAGTATTTGGAATGCCCTGGATAGCAGGGCACCCCAGGTACCCTGCTAGGTTGCTCTAATTCAAGGTAAGGACTTTGGTAAATCAGATACCATCTTAGGACAACAGGCAAAGAGAAAGGTCAAGGTTAACTCCCTACAGGAACACTTTCAGAATATCTAATTTTAAGCAGCATAAATTTTGAAAATATACCTCCGTGGTAACCAGAAAAAAACAAACAAACCCTGCACTCTAATGGGTCATTAGATAAACATGAATAGAAACCATCTGCCAAAAAGATGTGCATTTTGACAGTAGTGGTGTTGTCTTTACCATCAGTAGATAGAAGGAGCAGTTATTGGAGAGGACTCCTTGTTTGTGGCAGCAAAAGTCTTAAATCTGTCTAGGGGAACACTCACTTTCCGGCTCTCCACAGGAGGAAAGCATGCACTGAGCTCCTAAGAACTGGTGACAAATTGGTAATAACCATTACTGCAAATTAGACAGATAGAAGAATGGGCAAAATATTTCCCAGTTTTCCCCATTCTGAAAACATTACCTAATTTCTCAAGAACCTGCTTCTAAAAATAACCGAACGCCTGTGATGGTGTTAAGATAATGACATCAAAATCCTATATTCAGTTCCTCTCAGCAAAAGTGAAACCCCTGATTGCTGTGTGAACATCAACAACATTGATAGGTATGAGAGCGGTAACAGCACCTAAAAATACTTATTTCCAAAAGGGACAACAGGAAGTGGGGGGTTGGAACGTGGACGGGAGAAGGTCCTGTGTGGCAAGAGCGCTTCTGGAAGGCACAGTAGCTACCGTACCCTTCCCGCCAGAGACAGGCTATAGCTGAGAGAAAGGCTTCTCCCAACGGGCTCCGCTGTACTTGCAATAAGACAGTCTCTGTTTTGATGAGAAGCCTATTCTTTTCTTCCCTTCTACCATGCCCCCCTTTAAAACAAAAGCAAAATACCAGTTTGGTAACAAACACCATTTAAGACTGTTAAACAGAGAAGGAGACAATTAGCATGCGGGTATATTTTACGCAGAGTAAGAATTGCTACTGGGGACTGACTGATTGTTTTAATATTTACTGTGGAAGCATGGCCCAGCGGGCTTCCTCCTGCCCCCATCAGATACCTCCTTGGAAGGCTGCTCGTCAACCAAGCTCCCAAGAGACTCTGGAACGTAACCAGGGTACAGCCGGTGGAACACAAGATGAAGACCCTGTCATCTACTGATTACATACGTCTATTCAAAGAATATGTCCAATTAACCTCTCTTCTTTTTCTGGCCTACAATTAAACTTCCTAAACTAATACACACAGAATCTTCCTAATTTTGCATAGTACCTAAGGGCCTGATTGACACTCAATAAATGGCATTATTAATAGTAATAGTGAATGCTACATAGTGCCAAGCACACAGAGCCCAATAAATCTTAAATAATGACAATAATGAAAGTATATGATTAACTAATGAGCAATTATGAAGTACTCTGCAAACAAAGTGCTACACAGGCATACAACAATCACAAGCCACTGTGTTGAGAGTGACAGAAAGCAAATCGGGGTGAAAGGGAGGAGAGATAGGAATGAGAAGAGAACTCCCAGCCACGGCCAAGTTGCTACCAGCCAGAACACTCACATTCCTCCAATGGTGACGGTGGCACAGGTACGCTCTGAAAAGGCAGGCACCGTATCTGTGGCTGGGCTGGCTGGTCTAATGTAGTCCACAGTCACATTGACCTGAAAATAAGAAATCAAGGTAATTAAGGTTGAGAATTTGCAACACAGCTCACTAGCAGCCCCGTGTGCTGGCTGAAAAAGCTCACTCACGGTATGACTTTGTGGGTCTAAGATTTTAAAAAACAACTGAAAGCTGAACCACACACTGGGAGAAAACACCTCCAAAAGCCAGCTCAGATAAAGGACTATAGTATCCAAAATACAGGAAGAACTCTTAAACCTGCACGGTAAGAAAATCAAAATCTCAATGTTACAATGGGTAAAAGACTTGGATATCTTATCAAAGAAGACACAGAGATGACAAGCATATGAAAATATGCCCCACACGTGTCATTGGGGAAATGCAAACTAAGACAACTATTAACATGTCAATTAGAATAGCCAAAATTCAAAACACTGGCAACAAATGGAGATGAGGGTATGGACAAATGGAATTCTCATTCACCATTACTGGGAATACAAAACAGTACAGCCACTCTGAGCAATGGTTTTGTATAGAACAAACTTTTACCATATGTTCCACCAGTTAAAAACTCAAGTCCACACACAAAAACTTGCACATGGATGTTTCTGGTAGCTTTATACATAAATGTCAAAACTTGAAAGCAACCAATATGTTCTTCTGTAAGTGAGTAAAGAAACTGTGGTTCATGAACACAACTGAATACTATTCAGCACTTAAAAAGAATGAACTGTCAAGCCATGAAGAGACATGGAAGAATCTGAAATACACATTGCTAAGAGAAAAATGCCCATCGAACAGCTATCCATTGTATGGTTCCAACTGTGACGTTCTGGAAAATACAAAAATGTGGGAGACAGTAAAAAGATCAGTGATTGCCAGGGGTTAGCAGGATGAGACAGGATGAACAGATGTGGGGGCAGGATTTTGACAGCAGTGAAGCTATTCTGGATCATATATAATGATGGATACATGTCATTACACATTTGTCAAAATCCGTACAATGCAGAACACCAAGAGTGAACCCGAGTAAATGATGGACTATGGATGATGATGTGTCTAGGTAGGCTCACCAACTATAACAAATATACCACTCTGGAGGGGGACTACTGATAACAGAAGAGGAAGTACATGGCGGGGGGCAGGGAGGGGGGGCAGGGACATGGAAATTCTCTTTACTTTCTGCTCAATTCTACTTTGAGTCTAAAAGATGCTGTAGAACCTTAAAGATGACTGATGTCAAGAGAGAAGGACAAATGGCTGAACCTTTAAGGTCCCACATAAACTTCAGTTGACAGAGAAGAAATCTGGAATATTCCTGGAGGATTCCTAGACATTTTGGTAAAGCAGCTCTCTAACCTTTTCAGACTGCTTTGAAAATCTGTTTAAAAATATGAAATGCCTCAACAGAATAACTACATGTAGTTTCAGTCTGCCATAAGTTCTCAAGGTCCAAGTTAAGAACCATCAAGAAGAATCAAAACAACACAGCTGACTACACTGAATACCAATAGGGGTGGACTTGGGAAATTTGGGGGGGTGGGGTGAGAGGAGGATGGACTGGACCAGAAGAACCTTTAATACTGGGCTAATCCTAGTATATACAAAACATAGGGACACAAACACGTGGAGCAATGCTTTTTCTTTATGAAAACTTTCAAGATGACCATGTTTGTGTGTCAAAACAAAGTGGCATGCCGTGTCCATCAGGAAACCTACAGAGCCTGCACCACAGCATTAAGGCGTATATACTTGACTTTGGTCATGGCTGAGCTTATATACCTGTACTGAGGAGGCAAGCACCCTGAGGCCATCCTCACAGCCCGGAAGTCCAGAACCACCTTTCCTAAAAACCACTTTGGTTCTCACTGAGCTACTTGAAGACAGCACGATATATGAGCATCAACCACACTGCTGGTGAGCACCACCAAAATCCGTTCAAACTGCCTGCTCCTCAAAATCCATTTTAAAAATGAATATGGAAATTTTCAGAAGAACAGCTGCCTCCAAATTCTGACTGTCAGATCACTCACTCTACCTAAATCACGTTTTCAAAGCAACAAGAAGCCCTATCAGTGAGAAAGCCAATTAAGGGCAGAAGGCAAGGGAAAACTTTCTCATGAGAAGTACTGTCATAATACAACAACTCAGAAGAAATCATAAAGAGGACTCCTTAGGTCAGAGGTCCACAGTGACATTACTGCTCAGCCTTATCACTTTGTCCAAGCTAAGGAGATGGATAACTGTGAGGGGTGTGAACAGACAGGGAGTAGGGGTGGGTGCAGGGCTGAAAAACTATCACGGCCAACAAAGAGGTTTTCAGAGTTGCCCCACATGCAGCTGATCAGTTGTTAGAGCCCAGAGGGCAAGGAATGGGCAGTCGACACTCACAGAAGCACAGCTGACTCCAATCCCTGGGAGGGAAAGAGTCTGCTGCTGCTGCTGCTGCTAAGTCACTTCAGTCGTGTCTGACTCTGTGTGACCCCATAGACGGCAGCCCACCAGGCTCCCCCGTCCCTGGGATTTTCTAGGCAAGAGTACTGGAGTGGGGTGCCATTGCCTTCTCTGAAAGAGTCCTATGCATGCTATCTATTCTGACCAACTCCTCTGGCAACTCTCCTGTGGCAAGAGCGGATAATTAACCTCTGGGAGAAGGAAGAGGCTGCGATACTTGAAGTTATGGCAAAAATCACACAGGAAATCAGCACTGAACAGGAGCTAAACCTCAAGAGTACCCACCCAGGAGTACATGAAGTAACTCAGGGCCCAGCAGGGCACCAACAGTGGGCATGGTCCAATCTGGGGCAATCAGGGGGCAAATCAAAAAGTATGTAGAGATGTTCACCTATTTTTGTGTTTTCACCCAGTCCATCTAGTAACAAGCTCAAGTCCTCAGTTCCACTAGCAGGGGGAAAAAATAATCCATCCCGCTTAAAAATAAACGGAGTGAATCCCAAGGTTACCTTGCATCTGCCAATGACAGGTCTCCTCCTCAGGAGATGGGAGTGGGGCAGTGGCTCATTAGTGCAAGCACATGGCACACAGTAACATCAGCTCTCCCCAGAAATCATGCTAATTCACCAGGAAGGCCATGTGAGTGGTGATGGTGATGGTTGTGGTGAGGGGTGTACTGGCAACAAAGAGCTCCGCATCTCATCTTCCAAGCCAAAGGCATGCTATCCCCAAACTGTCCAAAGGAAATCAGTGAAAAGACCCCACTCCCCCAAATCTTTCATCTTCAATCAGCGAAAGAACTAGTAACTACATTCTACATTCACCTGCCAATTAATTTTTTCCTCTATCTAGAGAAAGAACTGAAAGCCAGAGATTAAAGAGCTCACTGGGGGAGGTAACATTATTAAAGAAAATCTCAAAAACAAATGAGGCCCTGAGAATAGCCCACAGCCAAGACGCACACCTGCAGACAGCTATGACAAACCAGGAATTAAAGTCAATGTGTAATTAGCATTTATGTCCCTCTCCTGGGGAGTCTGAGCTCTGCTCTCCTGCCTTGGAGTTTCACATCTCCAGATACTCATCCCTGACTTGTCAATCACTTGATAAAGAGTAGTTTCAATTAAACAATGGCAGATCTTAGCAAAGTCTTCATCTGAATAATAACCACCTGAATTTTGGGCTTGTGGGTGATTACATATGGGATGGCATGAGTTGAAAAGAAGTACTGGGTTAATGCAAACGTTTCCTTCATTTTTCCAGCAAAGATGCTCCTGGAACGTTGGGTACATGCAAGAATTTACATGTACGGGACGCAGGGCAGGGTCTGGCCCTCCTCACAGCAAGCCCCACAAGGAGTCCACAGCTCCCTACTGACTCCACCTGTCATTCTTTTATGAATGAGTCACACATCACCTCCCTTTTCTCAGGCAATTCACTTGGTAAATGAGAGCACTAGACTAGAACTTAGAGCATCACTGAACTCAAGAATCCTAGAAGACAATTTAGCCAGACACTGTGTGCTATATAGCATCACAGGGTTTATACAGTAGGAGCATATATAGTGAATATTTTTTTGATGAATGGATACATGTAATCAGGAACCCTTTCAGACATAAAATTCTGAAGGACACTAAATGAGATGGTTAGGACCACATGGTCAAGCTGTTGACCATTCTGTTCTATATATTAAAGCATGAAGAAGGGAAGAAATATTTTGAAGATATTTTGGGATATAGCTTTAAATTAAGAAAAGTGTAATTCTGCATATTACCGTTTTTTTTCCCCCCAAAGAAACTCTCAGAGAAAAAGAAAGGGTAGCAGGCTATCTGATTCCTCCGTGGTCCATTGTGGAATTCTCCTTGAAAACAATTTCAAAGACCCTTCAGAGAACTAAGATGAGAACTTAAAACCAAATTTGTATTCCAATCTCATATAAAGTCTGAAAACAGCTTAGTATTAACAGAAAACACTCAGGTCACGCCTAAGGAATTCAATCTATGGATACTCTTCATGAAACTAATTCACTAGATGATGAGTGAGTAGTATCATCATACTTCAGTAGTGTCAAACCACCAAAGAACTCCGCACACTTTATGATGCTGATGATAATCTGAAGGCCTGTTCATAAAAGATACCTAACATTTCCAGGCCACAGCCTGAATCTGGGTTGTTACATGAGGCTATCACTATATAATCTCACCCACTATTCCACATGGCCAATCATAAACCCACAAAGAGATGTTCAAAAAAATACCCCACCTCATGAAAAAGGCTCTCATGTGACCTGTCATCCTCAAGACGGAAACAGAAAACACAACATCTGGGAAAGTCTGGTTAAGGCAGCAGGCAGGCAAAAGTAAGTAGAACAAAATATTTCAACAGCTTGGGTAAGAGCACGGGCTCTGGGAGCCACCTGGCTGCGGGTTTGAAAGTGAAAGTTGTTCAGTCATATCTGACTCTTTGGGACCTCATGGACTGTACAGTCCATGGAATTCTCCAGGCCAGAATACTGGAGTGGCTAGCCTTTCCCTTCTCCAGGGGATCTTCCCAACACAGGGATCGAACCCAGGTCTCCCACATT